TCAAACAATCTTGTGTCTTCCTCGTACAAGTATCACCGCCGACCCTCCCAAGACCAAACAGGACAAACGTTTAGTCTACCTGTGATGTTACACTGACTTGGATGTCTTAAACGCTAATGATAGTTGTATTGCTGCTCAAGTAGTTAGTTGCCAAACATCATAAAAATTTTTACAAATATGAACGCGTGCACCGTACAGTAGAGTAAGGGCAGTCAGGATGCAATACATTATAGACCAGAAAAAAAATATATCGACGAACAAGAAGGACAACGTGACCGGAACTACTGACCTCATCCTTTACTTTCCTAACTGTAAAATTACCTAGCCAATCACGCCACAGCTGGGTACACTCAGAGTGCCTTGGGAGCGAACCAACCAAACCTCAGGCTAGGAGGTAAGCCCTTGTATCCACTCCCCCTCCGCACTGTTCATTGGTTATTATTATATTTAAACTTGGTCTCGTTGCTCCCTATCACCTGTATTGAACTTTAATTGAATGTCTTAAGTCAAGTCGTTCAGGGCGTTTGGGATTTCACCAGAACCATTGAGAAAGTTTAAAGAGACGCGACGATCAATATGAGAGTGAATAAGGTTAACTTTTTCTTAGGGGGATGGTGCGGCAGACCTCTCCTCTCTTCCTCTGCCCTGGGGAATAACTAACTTTTTTTTTACACTTTGTTCTTACTGCGTATTGCTTACATCTGTTCTGTTGTTGTTATATGTTCTTATTGTATTCACTGTAACACGCTGCCCGGTTATCTTTGTCATGAGTTGGTGAGTGAAACCTAAAACATTACCAGGGTGCATATAGGCATACATCACGGTACATACAGGCATACACAAGTCTAAAACACTACCAGGGTACATACAGGCATACATCACGGTACATACAAGCATACATCGCGGTACATACAGGCATACATCACGGTACATACAAGCATACATCACGGTACATACAAGCATACATCACGGTACATACAGGCATACACAAGTCTAAAACACTACCAGGGTACATACAGGCATACATCACGGTACATACAAGCATACATCACGGTACATACAGGCATACATCACTGCACAGCGGCCAGCCATCTGACAGTGACACGATATATACACACACAGTAAACCAAAACAAGAGAATATCTGACCAGCCCGGATTTTGATGCCGAGGTTTAAGAGTAGAAGAAAATCTACCTTTGAACACAATAACAAAGAAACATTACCATTTAGAGAAACACCGATGAAATTCCATAATCCTCTCAAGAACAGTATGGAGGATAGAGAAAAGCCAAGTTGAGATTGACTGGCGGGGTTGACTATAGGCTTGTGGTCTCGTGATTACTAACAGAATCACGGAACCACACAACACAAGCGATCAAACATACGCTCAGAAAGAGATGTTAATTTTTAGTAAAACTGATTGAAATTCTATGAGTTTCCCAAGTACACGACAGAACAAGAATGCAGAAAAATCCAGTTTAGCTTCGACAGGTTGTTGGGGGTTGGGTGTTGTGATCATAGGACTCGGTGACCCACACAGACAGACAGATAGACGATTAAGCACACGCTGAGGACCCCTGACCATCTGGTGCCGATGGTGGCAAGGATGAAGCCCTGTTACCTCACTTAAGGCTCATGAGGGCACTGATGATGATAAAGCACCAGAGCTACAAGGGCATCGGGGGGTCGTTAAAGATTCTCTGCTTGAACGGCATCAGGAAATGCGCAAGGCCGCCTTAAGGATACACACATACACACACACACCATACACTACACATCCACACACACCATACACTACACATACACACGCATGTATTACCCCTGAAAATGATAGGTGATGATACATTTAGTTTTCGTTTTAATAATCATACTTTATAATCTATGGGAAGTATATATATATACATTTATGTGCACATTATACATATAAATATGAAATATAAATATGTATACAGAAGGATATATAGATATAAAAATTTTAACCAGATCCTTAGATAATGCCCAATCATAGTCGACTGTGCTGACCGATGCAACTACTCACTATACCATGTTCCAGCGATGATAAGGTCGAGTGAGTCTTATTCTGAGCCTCACACACCATGACCTGTACTCGACCCTCATTCACCCCTACTGAACCACTCGATTGAACCACTCTACTGAAACACTCAACTGAAACCGAAACTAGGAACCGAACCACTGAACCGAGAGAGAGAGAGAGAGAGAGAGAGAGAGAGAGAGAGAGAGAGAGAGAGAGATTCTTGCCTAATTGGCCGACGGAGGTAATTCCCTTCTATGAACCATCGACCGGAAGTTTAGGAACCCAAGTTCACCAATGTTGTTGACACCGTTGGCAAGCCATGAGTACGTCACGGATGGCCAGCTGCACCCCAGAATGGCCAGACGTGGCCAGAAGTACCCGGTGGCCAGTAGTACCCTAGGGTGGCCAGAAGTACCCTAGGTGGCCAGAAGTACCCTGGGTGGCCAGAAGTACCCTAGGTGGCCAGAGTACCCTAGGGTGGCCAGAAGTACCCTAGGTGGCCAGAAGTACCCTGGGATGGCCAGAAGTACCCTGGGATGGCCAGAAGTACCCTGGGATGGCCAGAAATACCCCCAGGGTGGTCAGTATAATGTTTGTTTTTCTTTTTATACTTCAGTCTATGGTAAGAGATCCCCCCCAAAAAAATATATGATATATTCTAGCAATTATCTCTCTCTCTCTCTCTCTCTCTCTCTCTCTCTCTCTCTCTCTCTCACATTAAGATTTACGATCCTGGTAATGAGATAAGAATTTTTTTCCCGCCGCACTTGTGAGTTACCGCCTCACTGCCTACACGCATTACCGCTCACCCATGATATATTACCTAACAACAACCAAAAATATAGTCGTAAAATATTAACATAATGGTCCATGAATAATACGTGTGAGGTCATTATATATATTAAGGTATTTATAATTACATAGATAAATATTCATTGTTGGATTACATAGAAATACAGTACTTGAAATATACACCCACGTGATTATGTATACTTTTGCTACTACTACTACTACTACTACTACTACTACTTTTTTTTACTACCACTACTACCACCAATAATATTAATAATAACAATAATAATAATAATAATAATATAATTTCCTACGTCAAAAACTCACACTATAATGAGTTCAAAACGACGTCCTGACTGACTGACTGACTGACCCACATTCATGCCGATTACAATAGCCCCCCCTTCCATTAACTCTCTGATACGAAATCTTCCAAGGGTCTGCTCAAGTAATTAGGGGCGGTGTGGATACAGCATACTGCACTGTAGCTTTACTGTATGGAGGGCACTATACTCGACCACTGGGGGTGCTCCGGGCTCGAACAATTAAGTAGCAGTAACAGTGATGAACCAGTCTTGCCATTTAAGTAACAGGAGTTCCGTAGGCATACTTGTTCTGGATGGCAGTGGTGGTGGTAGATGGGGCTGGTTGTGGTGGTAGGTGGGAATGGTAGTGGTAGTAGGGTGGAAGTAGATGGTAGTGGTGGTAGCAGGTAGTAATGCTAGTAGATGGTAGTGGTAGTAGGTGGTAGGAGATGGTAGCGATGGTAGTAAACTTAAATAACGTTAGATATCGTTTCTGACTTTCTTTTCTTGTAACTTTATTTCCCATATTTATTTCCCTTTGACTTTTTTTATGATTTCTTTCCAGGAAACTTTTTTTCCCCTCCTCTTCATTCGCCCTTTGATCTGACGCGGTGGCCGAACAAAGGGGTGAGTCTCCTTCGTCAAGAGTCTTACCCTTTGAGTCATATTAATTTAACCAAGGAATTATTTACTAAAACATCCAATTGAACATCAGAGCCAAATAGATGTTGTTAGCAATGTTTCAACAAATAAACATTGGTATTATATTTATGCTACATGTTAACGTGACAGGTCCAGTTAGGAATGTTTCAATAGCTAAACATTGGTACATTGGTAAATAATTGACCGAAAGTTTGGATTCATATTTTCCAAGAAGCTATTAGGTTACCCCCCCCCTCAACACCATACCCTCCACCCCTCCCTCCACCCCCCCCACACGTCACCAGTAGCCTAACCTAAACCCTTCATGAGTCAAGCTTATATACTCACACCCTCTGAGGAGTTATTGATAATATCGTCGCATACTACGAGCTCACATTATACACATCCAACGCAGCACACAAAATCCCACCATCTTCCAGTTAGCTTAGGTTAGGTTTGGTTAGGTTAGGTAACAGTGATACATGTTACTATACCTTGACCTCACACGGTTATGGGAACAAGCTCTTAAAGACAGCTAAAGCTTTGTTATCATGAATTGTTTTATACAGATGTTGTGTCGTGCGAGGGGTCGTGTCTGTGGCAGTAACAAGACGTCGTCCACTGTTTCATAACATCCGTGCTTCGCGACTCGATAAATCAACAATGACATTCATTTTCGGATATACGAGTACAGTATTTCTATGTGAGACGAGAGAGTGAGGTAATCTATCAATATTTTCTTGATGGTGAATGTTACACTGTTATATAATTCAAGAACTTAAGTAATTAGAGGATACAGATTGAACCAGTGTGTATTTTCCCTTGTTGTCAGACGAGGGTCAGTTGTGACTCATGCCTCCAACACTGTCACATACGAGAGTTGGAGAAGTTCCAACAAAGAAAGACTATGACTGAGGATAATGAAGTTAATTGTAATAAATGAATGACTCCAGGGAAGGATAACAAGAACTCCGAAAGTCGAACACTGTCCTCAGGTGTCAAGGTAGGACATTGTGCTGAGGAAAGGAGGCCTAGCTTACCTCCTCAGCCTTGGTGTGGGACAAAGGCGAGTAATGAGGTCATAGACACAACCTGGCCGAGATATCATTGGCAACATCCGCCAGGTGGTCACAACACAGACCTGCACTAGCTAAACAAAAGGTAAACATTGTGGTGACGGGAGGCGACCACTGGCTGGAACTAACAAGGCCGAGTCCCCCGTGAGAGTTGGGGGTATATTTTCGCGTGAGCCGAGGACCGATGACGCAGTGTTAGACGGGCCGGGAGGGGAGAAACACGTCTGTACAAGGTGCTCCGTCCGTGTATTGGTGGTGCAGCAGTAGTAGCAGTAAAACAGTCATGCGCTGGTTCTTGGTGGTGAGTGTTGTCTCAGACACGGGGACCAGGAGTCAGGCGCCCCCCTCTACGTCGTCCAGCCACCGCCCCGTCGTCCCCCCTCACACACCCGCGGGGCGCTGGTCAGGGTGACGTGTGCGTGTCACCTGGTGCTCGTGTCATTACTTTGTAAAGCATGTTCATGACATTTTATGTATGCCAAGGATTGTTATGGAAGGTCAACTGCAAGAAACAGTGAGTAATAACAACAAGCACTCAAGGTCTGGGTGAAGCGTGAGTTTTTGACTTCGTATTACAGCTGAAATTTATATCGTTAATTTATTTAGTTTGTGAATTAGTTCCTAGAATATTTACAAGTCTCGCCCATAAAATTATAAATTATGTAAACAGAGACAGTCATGTCGGGAGAAATATTGACCATGGGCCGGGCAGAAACGTGTCAGGGAGAGCACGTGAGGCAGTATTGGTCTAGTGGAGTCACCCCTCACTGAGTGCACCGTGAAACACAATTTGAAAATCCTTCTACGTCTTGGACTCAGGATTCCTTTACAGTTACTAAATGTTGCTAAGTCTCATATTGTTTACAGCCGATCAGTGGATGCGTCTGTACGTATTTATGTCAAGTAACCAGACCCAACTTAACTTACATAAACTTAACCAACTTATTCAAAATATATTCTTAATTCGTAAGGTTTGGTCAGGTAGGTTAGGTTCTTACACGATGGTTTGTACGAATTTGACCAAATAATCAAGAAAAATTCAAATCTTATAACTTGTATGACAGAACTCGACGAACAGAGCAACATTTCTGCAGTGACGTAAGTAGACCCCCGCCCCGCCCCGCCCCGCCAAGTAATGGGTTAAAATCGACCGCGATATTAACCAAGACAATTGTCGTAGTAATTGTTAATAAAAACCACGCACCTAACCTAACCTAACCTACCCACATTACAACCACCGTAAGAACGTAAAAAAGTCGCTACATTATAATACTGTACGTAGAATGGCATTTTCATTATACTCCAAACAAAGCATTATATATTATTTAAAAAAGGTAGTGTCACTTTAATCTGGGCCCAAGACTTACACAGTACTCCTTTGGCTATTAAGCTTCACGACTGATTTTTATAACCTTTAATAATACTTGGTGATCAATTACCTGTTCAATTCATGTGATGGTTTGTTTTAACTCTCTGAAGCAGGTGGAGCATTGGTAACTTATGCTCCAGGTCTTATAGTATTTAAAAGTCTCTAATAACAGCTTCATTAATGCCTTATAAAACACGATGCAAAATTAGGCTTAGGATAATGTTACGATATCGGATTAATGATAAAATTCCTTTATTATTTATTGGTATTTCAACTTGATGAAGACAAAGGTTCCCAAATCGTAGAGTTAATTATTTCTTATGGCAGAAAACATCGTTAATATATCAGCTCATAAAAAACGTATGATACCTAACCTAATCCTAACTTAACCTAACCAAATCTAGCCTATTCTAATCTAACCTAAACCTAACCTATCTTTAACCACTAGGACGATAACTTTCTCCGTAACGATAACCAGAAAAAAAAAAACACTCATAGGCTCACTTACGACTCAAGTCTTATAACCTGTGATACTTGAGTCAAATAGTTTTCTCCAGAGCGAAAATTAGTCTTTGTAAACATATTTTTTTAAGCATAACTAAAAAATTATAAGACCGATTATACGTAAGTTTTGTAAATTATATAAAAAACTATAATTAAGGCTCGTATATGTAGTAAATTATTTTAAATCCATTTTGATCTTGAGTTTATGACGGATTATAGTGTGTGTTTTGCGGTCTCTCTCCGTTATCTTCATTTTTTATTTATCTTACGAAATGTCTAGGAAACTTAACCTGAAAATTGTCAGAGGGTGAAGCAGAGTGCTGGCGCCGTTTCAAAGCAATCTATCATCCTTGAGAAAGACGCACACACACTGTCGACAGCAGCGCCTACATGTTCGCTTTCCTTTTAGTTAAGATGACACGGGGAGAGAAAGAGACAGACAGGCAGACAGACTGAGACAGATAGACAGTGTCCGCTTTTAGTTAGGACCCAGAGAGAGAGAGAGAGAGAGAGAGAGAGAGAGAGAGAGAGAGAGAGAGAGAGAGAGTTACATTTCGAGGAAGTAAAGCTAACAGGCTAGTACAAAAATCGACTCTCCAGAGGTATTGGTCATGACTGAATAGCTTAGAATATGGGTGTTAGCAAGACAATAGGAAATTAGTTTACGCATAACGAAAATAATAACACACACACACACACACACAGAGGACAGCATCACCACTACCACCGCCGCAGTCAAGTACTAAACTCTGGGCGCCACTAGGCTGGGTCGGAAGGAACATCAATACACTGCATACCTTCAATGTCTCGGGAAAATAACATCTTATTTCCCAGAGGCAGTGTGGTCCTCCTCCTCCTCCTCTGTGCTGTGAGGACCAGGATGTCTCTCACTTTATTGACCTTCAAGTAAATGTTCTCAGAGTAGCGTAGTTGTCTTGGTAATAAACAAAACGTGGTTGGAAATGACCAGAGAATGTTTAGACAAGTGAACTGTGAATATTGTACGCTAGATCTAGATTCTCTTTGGATAGTTTACCTAAAGTATTTGATTTTGCTTAAGGAGAAGAGATTAAGTAAAAACATCGCATGTATTATAATTACTTATTTAAAACAATGTAGATTCGTAGAAGGAATAACTCCAAGCAAAAAAAAACATTTACAAAAAAAACGTAAGAAAAATATTCATTATTTTCACCACATTCTCGTCAGATGAAGATTTATCAGGTATACAACACTACATTTTAACACTCAAACGTCTGTAAAATACTATAAAATAACGTCAATACTACCTGAACGATGCTGGAAACGAGAGACCTACTTCTATCATACGAGTCATAAACACAACTCACGATGATGCCTTAACCAATATATATACTGTACTTGAAATGTGTTAAACAGTGACATCGAGAGGAAACATGTAATAATGATGGTTGTTTAGGCCTTAGACGATAAAGATAACGTTTATAAACTCTACTATATTAACCAACTCGACTCACTGTGCCAAACTGACCACCCAACACCCACCGATCACCTTCAGTTGACATCTGCCCAGGCTAGTGGTTCAAATATTTCCTTGTATAATCTTCACTTATTTGATAATTGGGGAAGTTCTAAACTCGACTTTAGTGAGGCCTCTTAAACACAGTTATATCCATCACTCAGAGTTGCTGTGTCCTGTTGTTGAATATGATTTACGTCTTGTCTTACTCGTAATACATTGTGCAGGTGCCTCGGCAATTAATGATAATAGAAAGGTACTTAAAATAGATACATGTAGGAATCACTCCACTAAATCAAACACACTCGTAGTAAAGGGATCGATCAAGCTACACGATTATCTACAATATAAATCTACAAAATATATGAGAGAGAATTTAAATGTGTCTGGCCTCGAGGATCTATCAGACTCTATCACGTCCCTCTGCCGAGTCCATTGTTACCAACCCCGCCGCCACATCCTGCCTGTTGCAACCTGCCGAGAATGAGCTGATTTGCAACACTCTCAACTGTTCCCTCCCCCCCCCCCTCTCCCCCCAACAAATAGGAACCTTGGAGTTAAATTATATGTTAGGTAAGGTGGTAAATTATGCCTAGGGAGATAATATTATTAAATTGTGGGGGAAAAGGAAATTGCCATCTTGGACAACTTTGAGAAGACGGGAATGAATAGTGTTTACAAGCCTTCATAACTATGGGAAACTAAATATACTTTTTACCATGATAACTACTTTGAATATTTGGTAAGAAAATAAATCACTGGAATACAAATTTAACAATAATTATAAAGAAAATTAGTTACTATAAATACTTTAACAAGACATTGAAGGGGAAAATTTATATATCCCAGTGAAATGTTTTAAGTTTTACATATGAATATAAAAACTATTCTCATATTAGATTTAAACTCGTAACAGTCGTGAGCAAAAGGAGAATTACTCGTACGGTTGAAAGTTAGTTGAAAGTCTCTAGCAAGTCCTACAGCCTTGAATACTAACACCACTAAACTGCAAGTCGAGTCAGCTGTCTTAAAAGCCTCGTACGTTTCTTCGTCTATAACTGGAGATAAGTGAACGCATTTTACCTCGGCTCAGACTACGATATTTCATTACCTTTAGAGATGAGATAAACAAAATCGTATGAACTTTTGAGGATCTATGTATTGATAAAAAAAATATTAGTTAACGTCAAGAAACTGGGATAAAGATGGACCAATGAGAGAGAAGGTGAATAGTGTGTGTGTGTGTGTAGGGGAGGGGGTGAAGCCAGGCAGCCATCATCTGAGTTGTGTACACTGACTGGTATTGAGAACCTAATGCATGGTGAGGAAAGGAGGGAGGTGAGGGAGAATGTTATACGCGATACTTGATAAATAATGTAAATACAAAATAGAGAGATAAAAGGTTTCTCAACGTACGTATAGAATTCATTCAACAAAAAGTTAATAAATCATTAAACATAAATTACGTCATGTTAACTTTATGTAATATTTGGAAATTCAGAAAAAAACATCAGGGTCGGGTTAGGTTAGTTTTTTTTTTAAACTTGGACCAATTTATAGAGATTTGTTGGGAATATATTTGAGGTATGTTTTATTACGTTATTTTATTTATTTTATTTCAACGGGTTTTTTCGTAGACTTTTGTAAAAAAAAAAATCCAGGGTCACTTTTTAATATCTATGAAAAATTGTCCTAAGGGGCCAAGGTAAATATATTTCGACCATCATATAAAAAAAATCACTATTAGGAGTCAGTGTAACATTAAGTAACACGACAACACTAAGATTCCTTGTAAAATATTCTGTTAGATCTTAACCTAAAAATAACTTACTGGAAGATCTTGTTAAGGTTCTTGTGAGTTATTTTAAATAAGAAATAAATGTCAAAGGTGAAGACAGGTCACATTAGTTCCTCAGTGAAAGTTTGCCCG